ATTTAACATACCCTAGTTTTTAGTTGACAACACACACATGCATCAAATTTGAGATCAATTAGGGCTTTGTATATGTTGTAATGTGGCCAGAGGTCAGTGGCTAATGAAATGACGTCAATGGTATTAAAAAGTTATCCCCTTTTTAATGTAGTGTAGCACACCTCTCTCTTGCTTTTCGATCTTTTGCCTAAAAATGATATTTCTTTCTTTCATTTTTCTCATTTATCACTTTCTTGGAAATTCCCTGTTTTTTTGTTTCTTTTCTTTCTCGGTTGTTTACATCACTTTTCTTTCATTGAACAGTAGCTACAATCGTCTTTTCTATTTATCTTGCTTTTTTTGTATCATACTGATTTATGAGAGGGTGAAAGAAAATTAGATAGCAAGGTATGTCAAGTATATTCTCCCGTGGCTCGGTTATCATATGAGTTTCTTGAAGAAGAAATCATTCATTGAAGGTTCAAACATAGCTAACTAGGGATATAATTTCATAGAAGCAATGACTAAGGCTCAAAATCAAATCAAAGATGACATAAAATCCTTTCTCAAGTATGTGCCCATGCATGTGTAGCATACAAAGGTTTCTTGTGGGATATGTCAATAGATCACTTTAGTTGCATTAATCAAAGCAAGTTTAATGAGATTATTCAAAAATTAAAAGTGAAAGAACTTACTTGAGTAAATGTTGATTGTCTCTCAGAAAGCATCGCAAGACTCAAAATTTACCATAGTATTCTTCGTTATCTCAACTAGTTATGTCAGGTTTTCAAAGAATGTCGGTTATATATCAATTCTATTTTTTAGTCTGGTCATTCTGTACCTTAAGAATAACAAATACTAATGTACATTTGACATTTAAGCATAGAGAGAATACCATTTTTCAAGAAAATAAGGCTTTTTTTTTTGAAACTGGCATTCGAACTCAAATAAAAATCAAAGTTATTTACATACACATTTATTTATGAAAATTGAAAGAAGATTAAATGCACAAATTGAATTTGAAAACCTATGGTGTCTTAGGATAAGTCCCTACCCATGCTACATATTGGCATTTTAGAGCATTCCTTACTCGGCCCACATCTTTATTTTGGCTAAAAAGATTTTGTACATTTAAAAAATATTTACACTTTTTATAAAAAAAGTTCAGACCATTAACCTTCATCTCCAAAATACGTTTTTTCATAGCTTTGTCATTATTAGTCAAAATCTAATCCGAGTCATCGCTTGTGTCTATGTCATTATTAGTGACCCTTCCAACTTCTTGTCGTATATAACGTGTAAGTCTTGGATTGGTATCAGATGGTGTCTCAGAAAAATTCTTACTCTGCCCATACACAACCAGTTTAATCAATCGATTGCACGACCTGAAATTGGTTCAGAACACTGATTATATTTTTTCATGTGAAAGCACCTGCCACATTGTTTACAAGTACCCAGTTGTTTGGCACGACGATGTTTAACAAAAGTGCTTCTGCCACACAATGATTTTGATTTTGCTTGTGCTTCTCGGATTTCAATTTTTCTCACAACTCTTGCCTTTCTCATTATCATAGCATACACATCGAATGGAAAAGTACGTAAAATGCCTAAACTGAACCAAAAAAGTTTACTATCCATATTTGTTAAACTGAAAACACCCTATCTGGTTCTTTAACGTCTGCTAGTCACAAAGACAATTGAAGCTGCATTCGATATGATCATGAAATATAAGCAAAAATACTATAAAAATACGCAATCTAGAATAAAAATAAAACATATATTTTTTTTAAATATGAAACTATAACAAACTGAAACCGAAACTAGAACAAACTGGAACTGTAGATCACACCCCCCCAACCTACACTGAACATTGTCCCAAATGTTTCGAATTTACCAGTGTATAAAAATTGAAAATGAGGTTGTAAGGTAGAGATCTGTTCATCTGCCAAAAACCTACAAACAAAACACAACAATTAATCATCTTTAGGGAGATCTGGGCTAGGCTGGAAACCCCTCACCCTAAGCGTGAGTAGAAGAAGAGCACCCATGTACAAATACAAACATATAAGACAAATTATTAAACAAAGGACTGGGTCGTTGGTGTATATGATTATGAATTTGTAAGGGGTGGATTTTTTTTACAGAGAATAGAGAGAACAACGAAGAAGAAGAAAAGAAGAATAAAAGAAGAAGAAGGGAAAAAGAAGGGGGGCCCAACATCGGTAGATGGGAAAAAAGGGAAAAAGGGTTGGAGGTTTTATAAAGGCATCCCAGTGGGTTGATTTTTTTTGACTCGATCTTTCACGGCTTTGGTAAAACTTTAGAAAAATGGACTCTAAGGGAAGAAGGAAGCTCAAAACAAAGAGAATAAAAAAAAACAATGAATTAAAAGAAAACAATAATACAATAAAAGAAACAATATATTAAAAGAAAGTAATAATACAAAAAAAAAAGGCAATAATAAAAAAACAATAATGACTTTTGGAGGATTTTTCACTACCAAAATGTGCTACTTTCAAGAAAGCAATGATACAAGAAAACAATAATGACTTTTGGAGGGTTTTTTACTACCAAAATATGCTTTTTTTCAATAAAGCAATAATACAAGAAAATAATAATGACTTTTGGAGGATTTTTCACTAACAAAAGATGCTCTTTACAAGAAAGATGATACAAGAAAGCAACAATGACTTTTGAAGAATTTTTTATTACCAAAATATGCTCTTTACAAGAAAGATGAGACAAGAAAAAAGATAATCTTTACAAGACCCGAACGGTGGTATTTATAGGCAAAAGGGGAAGGCTTGAATTATATTTTGATTCCCCTTTGTTTTGAGTTTTTGATAATTGACACCATATAATTTGTAGTTTTGATAATTGACTCCCCAATAGTTGGTAGCTTTGACGCACAAAACTTTGAAAAGAACAACAATCAATGCATTATTCCTATTTCACACATTAACTCTTATTGGATTTGTTTGGACTAATTCAACGTTGTTAAACTAACACAATTGACCTATTAACTTAATTAAAATATGCATTAATTAGGGTTAATCAATATACAACATACATGGTGTTACGCCAAGTCATAATAAGATAAATCAATCTTCCTATTGGGGGTCTTCCAATAATTGACCTTCAATAGTACTCAAATTAGATATTGCTCCATTGGGAATTTTGCTGGCATTGCCCTCTAAAATCCTATATATTTAAGGATTTCAAGAGCATATTTTCCTTGAGACAGATAAATTCATTTTCTTGCTCGTGCAACCTCTATTCCAAAAAAATATTTGAGATTTCCAAGGTACTTGAGTTTGAATCGATCGTTGAGAATTTTTTTCAAACTTTTAATCGCCTCCAAGTCATTTCCTGCTAAAATGACATTATCCACATAAACTAGCACTGAAATGAATGGATCACCTTTGAATCGGACAAATAATCAATAATAAGCTTTTTGACTGAATATAACTGGCATCAAGAAGTGCTTCTGTAAATTTTATGAACCATTGGCGAGATGCTTGTTTGAGTCCGTAAAACAATTTATTTAGCTTACATACTCTTGCCTCCCTTTTTTGTCCAAATTCAGGGGGAGTTTCATGTACACATCTTCTTCTAAATCACCATGCAATAATGCGTGTAGCTACTAAAGCAAGTAAAATCTGAACTATTACTAGCTTAGCCGCGAGTGCGAAAGTGTCCCTGAAATCAACGCCCCATTTTTAGTTGTAGCCCTTTGCAACTAAGGATCCGGCTTCTCTGCTGTTCGCGATGAACGACAGCCCTGTTCATCAAAATGGCACCATTTGGTGCCTTTCTTTAAAAACCAATTAGACCCAAACCGCTAGCCCAAAAAAAACCCATAACTTTTGGCTGACCAAAACCGCTGAGGGTATTGGTCATGCTCAGTTAACTTTTGGTATTAATCGGTGATGTTCCAAAATTTATAATTTTTTAAAATTAAATTAAAGTAAAAATAATAAATAAAAAAAGTATGATTGGTCTTAAAAAATTATGATCGATCATAAAAACAAAGTTAAGATAAATTTATAGCTTTTAATTATCTATTCAAACTTTTCATAAATATATGAATTGGAGATTATATATATTTGATTAGTATAATTGTAAATGATATGTATGGATGAGAATGTAAATCTCATTTATCGCATGAGAGATGACCGATTGTTCTAAATTAAATTTTTATTAATTTATTTTGCACACATCCGATTTGCCAGATATTTGATACCAACAAAAAAAAAAAGTCAAGTCAGAGTTAGCTGTCCAAATCGTAATCAAAGGGTAATTCTATAGCATTTTTTTTTTTAATATCGTATCAAAAATTATTATTTTTTAAATCTATGTTACATCATTTATTTTTAAAATTATAATTACTTGAAATAAATCGATGATTGATCATAAAATATTATAATCATGAATATCCCTAATTAGTTTTAAATTTATCTAAACTTTATTTTTATGATCGATCATAATTTTTTAAGACCAATCATACTTTTTTTATTTATTATTTTTACTTTAATTTAATTTTAAAAAATTATAAATTTTGGAACAACACCGATTGATACCAAAAGTTAACTGAGCATGACACATACCTTCAGCGGTTTGGGTCAGCCAAAAATTATGGGTTTTTTTGGGCTAGCAATTTGGGTCTGATTGATTTTTTTTAAAAAAACCGTTTTGATGAACAGCAGAGGAGCCGGATCCTTGCAACTAATCGGGCCTTGTACTGCTCAATTGTCCTATCAATAGGGTATTTTATCTTGTATACCTATTTGCATCCAATATGTGTTTTGCTGGTGGAAGGGAAGTGAGAGACCATGTATTATTTGTTTCAAGTGCCTCAATTTCAACTTGCATTGCAGACTTCCATTTGGAATCTTGCAAAGCCTGTGAGAAATTTTGAGGTTCTGTTACAGTAGAAATGAAGGCTTTAAAAAAGCCTTATTATGAGCAGGGGAAAATCGACGATAGGAACTGAAATTTGGTAATGGATGTGCAGTGCTTACCGATCTGACCAATGCTAAGGTTAAGTATTTAGTTGAGCGAGAAGGAAGCCCGGTCCCAACATAATAATCTTCCAAATAATTGGGTTGTTTGGTGAGTCGAGAAGACCGACGTGATGGAACTAGAGGCTCAGCTGCTAATGGAATCACTGGGTCCGATTTAATGGAATCTGGAGGTTGAATTGGGGGTTGCGCTGGAGTGTGCACCGACGAATTAGAACTCGATGTGTCTGTAATAAAATTTTCCACGGGTCCAGGTGCTGGTACGGTGGACTTATAGGAAGAAGGCAAAACAATATCAAGAGTAGGAAAAAAGGAATACCAGGTTATCATCTTGCTTAAGAGGATAAGAAAAAGGAAAACGAATCTCATGACAAACATCTCGAGAGGTAAAAATTTGATTTGTCTAAGTTATACCCCCTATAACCTTTTTTGCCATGTGGATACCCAAGGAAAGATGCAACGTTTTGCCCTAGGATCAAACTTTGATGGTCTAAGGGAAACGACGCAAAGGCACCCAAAACTCGTAAATGATAGTATGAAGGTTTAATTTTGAATAACATCTCATAGGGTGTCTTACCAAACAATACTGGTGTAGGGGTGCGAATAATAAGATACGTTGCAATTAAGATGGCTTTTTCAGAGTTGCTTAGGTAACTCAGCCGTAAATAATAGAGCTCGGGCAACATTCAAGAGATGACGATGTTTACGTTTCATCACTCCATTTTGTTGTGGAGTGTCGATACAACTAGTCTGATGTACTATTCCCTTTTCGAAATAAAATGTCGACATGGAAAATTGTGATGACCTGGTATTTGGAAATCAAAAATTGGATCAGAATTCGGGTAAGTACGACTAGGGGTTCGGATACCGTAGAGCCGAGTTGTGGTTAGGAAATTGTTAGAGGGTTTGTGGAGATGTTTTAATGTTTATGGATATGCTTAAATAGGGAAAGAAATGGATTGGTGAAGTATGAGGAACCAAAATGCGGATCCAGTAAAGATAGTTTTAAAGTAAATCAGAGAATTAGGAATTGAATACTTTAGTAATCAAATTAACAAAATTGATACAATGACTAAATTGAAAAAAACTTAAATACTTTAAGGACCATAAGTACTATTAACCGAAAAATTTATAATAATGATTTTCAAATGCGTTCATGGGTAAGTTGTTTTTCTCTCTCCAACAAAAAAAAATAGTAAATTGCATTATATAAAATTATTCACTTTGATAATTTTGCAGAAATACCCCACGGTTGAGTATATACATTGGGGCCACCGTCCTCAGATTTATCCCTTTGTATGGAGAGATGGCTTTGCATAAGCTTCAACATTAGTCTGATGAATTTATTATATATAGAACAACAGAGATATAAAAAAATAACAAACAGAAAAGTAATTTTGGTGGAAGTATTTATCATCAAGCAAAATAAGCTTCGATTATATTATGATAGGGATGTGTCATGGAAATCCCAAGGACAACAATTAAATACTGACTTATTTGCTACGCATTATTTGCTATGTGTCATGTGGGTTTGTGTGGATTTCAAACTTAAAAGTTTTACCAGTTGAGCCAGAAGGTCTCCAATTTTCCACTTGACTCGCCATTGTGTTGGTTTTTCTTGGAAGCTATCACAATCACTATTTATGATTAGGTGTTCTCTCTCTCTCTCTCCACCCATGGTTCGACGAAAATCCTTCCAAGTCACAAGTTTGACTTGATTTTTGTTTATGCACTTCTCTTGCTTTTACACTACTTGACTACTAATTTATATTAAACAAGGACTGACCTTTTGACTTCTTAATTGAGAGAATCTTGATAGGATTAAGGGTGATCACACTTGGTTATGTCATTATCAAGTTAAGATCTCTGTTTGCTTCTCCATATCACTACCTAGTCTCCATCTTGGTTAGTCATTTTCTGGCGTGCTTGACCTTATCGGTGGCACAAGTTGGTTTTGGAGACCCCCAAAGTCTACCACAAAACATTTAATAAATCACTGTCTAGGATGGACATGACAATTTTACAAACAACTCACAAATTCAATAAAAATTAACACAAAATTAGTGAATTTAAGTTTAGTCTTAACTCCTTAATTAAGTTTGTAAATGGTTGAACATGCAAGTGTCAACAATCAAGTAAATGACAAATTTAGCTAAATACGATGTAAACTCGGTTAAATAGGACTTGTACATGATTCAAACTTAACTCGACAGAAATCCGTTTATGCATAACTACAATTGGCCGAGTCTTGATTAAATAAACTTTAATGTAACATCACATAAATATGAAAAAGATACTAAAAAAACAAAGGAATAAAAGTTGGTATCTTCCCAAAAAATCAATATTTTTTTATTCAAGTTTCTACTTGGCCATAACAAAATCATTCCTCGTGTACAAAACTCTTCTTTTTATAGTGAGGTATGAAAGAACTGATACGAAGCCTTGTCTTTATACTAACAATACAAATTTCTAATTTCATTCGAACTTGTAATGCATCGTTTGGGTGAAAGAGTGATTGTTGTTGTTTTATGTGGTTTTTTGTTGCGTGAACAAAATAAATGGACTAAAACGAATTGTAAATAAGTATGATTTACCGTCAATCTTATGTGAGTAACGATTGTTTTTTGTTTTAATCAAGATGACAAAATATAAAAAGAACTTCATACGTTAATTGAAATTTGAAAATCAACTTCCACAATTATCGACAATTTTATAAATTTATATTTCAACTCATGTTTAATTAGGTTCAAATCTGAGTTGCATAATAAACAAGATACTGTAATTTGTGTTGGTTTGATGAAATTCAGGCTTTGTTTATTTAGCAGAAAATAAGTACCAACAAATCTTACAGTTTCTTTTGGTCTATTTCTTATTTGTTGAAGAATTTATCCTTTTTAAATTTTTTTTTTCTTAGGATTTTCATCTAGACTTCTACCCATATTCAAAAGGCGCTATTTCAATTAAAGGGCAAACCTCCTTTCTATTTAGAGGTGTCCGCCAATAAGTTTATTTGAAAAAAAATTATACTTTTAGACTATTACATTTAAAACTTTGAAATAAGTTTTTTAATGTCAAAATTTGAAGTTTTAACAATTTAGATACTATAAATAATATATTATTTTATTTTTTATGTATTAAGCATACAAGTTTTAAAGGATAGAGTAATGCAAATGATAGATAAGTGAGTAGGTGTCAACCTAGTTGGAATGTATTCATTCTATTGGATGTAGTTCATTCCTTAATTAAAAATAAAATTATGTGTTATTTTATTTTTATCCATTTTGACTCTAATTTTGATTCAAAAATATAATTTACACAATTATTAAGCTACAAAAACATTCATTATTGTTAAATGAAGTTGTATATAAAAAAACCTGTAAGCAGGCCCACCCACAAGTCCGTCCAATAGGCTCGCGAGTTGGATTGTGGGTACCCTATTCCTACTCGAAACCCGAACCAGCCCGCCCAATAACGCACTTGGGTAAAAGTCTGGGCCTATACTACCCAGACCCAGTCAAAAAAAAATTTCATGGGCCTGACCTGCCCCGGCCCATGAACACCCTACTTCTATTGCATAACTTAAAAAAGTTATAAAAAAAGTATACCAAAATTGTTGCCACGCTTGGTTACCCGTGAGCGCTTCCAATGGCAATTAGCTTTCAATATTAATTGTTACCTTAAAATCTTTATTCACACCTAAATGTGAACCTTTTCACCACAATTCACTATGTGTTGAGGAAAAAAGATAGTCCTTAGTCACACTATTCTCATTAAATATTTTGACTAAAATTTTAAAAAATATTGTTTGAGCTGGATTTAATTTGAAGATCTAATCAATTGTAGTTGTTGGATTAGAGGTAAACTCCATTTAACGTTGTAAATCCCAACTAACTCAATAATTAGATTGAATTAAGCCATTGATTAGATTCCCAAATTAAGTATCGATATATAAGATCACTCTAAATGATGTGAAAACTTATTAACCTTCCACAAATAAAGAGCTCAAAAATTTTGACTTATTAACCTCCAAAAATATAGGGTTAATTATACTAGAGATCTTCAAAATATGGAGTTTGTCTTATTTTGGTCTATAATATTTCAATTGCATCATTTTGATTAAAATATTGAATACTAGCGATACCTCATGACTAAAGTCATTATATACTAAATTATTACATTGTGTATGTATTAGAATGTGTGTGTTGGAATATCTTCATGTATGTGCAGTTGTGTATTGTGTAGTATGTGTTGGATTTTTGAAATTTGAGGTGAAAAATATACCCCCCATACGTTTAAACACCTATCTCATTTATTATATAAATGTTTTTATATGATCCCTCAAGCAGATAACGATCAAATTATTAGCGATTTTTTATCACAAACTTGTAATGTGATACTTAAATATGGACAAAAATATAATTTAGATAATTTTTGACCAAATTTTTACTCAAATTTTAGTTAAATAATTACCAAAATTACACAATTTTAATAATAAGTTATCCAAATTTTAGTTAAAAGTTACCCATATTACAAATTTTTTATCAAGAGCTACTCAAATTTTGTTTAAGAGTTATCAAAACTATTTTGTGTTCATATTTAGATATTATGTGACAAATTTATAATAAAAAAATCGTTAGTAATCTGAACGTTGTTTGTTTGAAGAATCATAAAGAAATATATTAAATAGTTCAGGGACAAAAATGATGCAATTACAACATTGAAAATCAAAATGAAATAAACTTTATACTTTAGGGATCTCTAATACAATTAACCCAAAAATTTATAAATTTTGACTTCATACCAAAATTGATATCCAAGTCTTCCTCTTTGTTACCTCTATGACGTTTTTTCTGTATAAAGATTGACATCACATGATTCACGCCAGCAGTCTGGAAACAAAGCGCATCAATTAATTGGCATTATATAATCTCCTAATCGGAACGGCCATTGTTTCTCTCCATTACGAATCGAACGGCTCTTGGTTCTTGTTCTTTATTGCACTCAAATGTAAGGTAGACCCGGGGACAGTCTTATCCTCGGCATATCGTACATGCATGGAAACATCGTGCGAGACAAAACATAGGACATTCAAGGTATTAAATAACATGATGAGAGTTGTCTATGCCACCGAAAAAAATATATTTAGGACCGTATTTTTAGCGTTTATTTGGATAAATTTTTTGGAAGGGTTTAGATTGACTTTTTTTAAACTCTTTCAAACTGAAATATTTCTTTACAAAGATGAAATTCAACATTTAATCTTATTCATA